ACTACAAAAGAGCTGAGGAACGGAATGAGTGGGCAGATGGGGCTCAAAAGAGGAAGTGGTTGAAATTCACTATAAGAAACAGTTCAATAATAGATCCTTCCCCTACCCAATGCTCCAGAATTGAGCACACACTTGAAACAAGGATTGAATCTTTGATTGAGAATAGCAAGGGCCATATTTTATCATATTCTGTCCCCAGGCCTGGAAAAAAAGGGAGGAGCAGGTGGAGGGAGGAGCAATTTTACTTCCTTTTACACCACCCCATGATGTCATAATGAATTACTGAGGCCAGTACTTGGGTCTACACAGACATCTCTCTTGGGGAGCTATGACACATAACTCAAATGAGCATATAATTAAAAATCATTTTTCTTTAGCTTTTAATTGCATTATGAAAATTGCAGCTTTTTAATTTTTTATACATTTTCTTAATTATGTTTTGTTTTGTGTATTAATAAAATTAGTCTTAATTCCCTACCTACTTGCTGACTGACAATGGGGAGATACAGTTTGAAAGTGGAGTGGGTTACCCTTTGAGACAGCATGGAGGGAACTTGATAGTATTATGCTAAGCAAAATAAGCCAGTCAGAGAAAGACAAGTATCACATGATCTCACTCATATGTAGAATCTAATGAAGAGAAAAATAAACTAATGAACAAAATAGATCCAGAGACATAGAAGCATAGAACAAACTGATGATTCTCAAAAGGAAGGCAGGGGTGTGTGGGTGGGTGGGGAGAGAATTTATATGCATGTACGCATAACCCATGGACATAGACAATAGTGTGCTGAAGGCCTGGAGGGGGAGGGACTGGTGTGGAGTAGAGGGGATCAATGGGGGGAAAAAAAGAAGACACCTGTAATACTTTCAACAATAAAGATAATTTTTTTTAAATGTAGAAGCCACAAAAATGGACACCTGGTAAATACTTTCCCTCCTAAAATATTAATAAGTTAAATTTATATTGGATCTCGAAGGATAGCTAATAAAATTCTAGCTATCTTAAGAATCAATAGCAATAAGAAATGATTCTACAAATCAAGATAATCATTATCATTCAGGTATATTTATTCCAGGTAAATAAAATGTATATGACTTGAATTCTTAGCAAAATACTCACAGAAAAACTTAAATGCAAGGAATGTTGTCATCTAAACCAGCTTTATCTCCTAGAATAGTGATGAAGCTTGAGAAGCCAGCAATGTATACACAATGTTTTATCCCCAATCCTGTTACTTGAAAGATTAAAAATAAGGTCATGGAAGACAAACATTTATTATATTACCTATAGTGATGTCCTAATTAGTGAAAAACAAAAACATAATAATCTCAAACCAGAAATAACCTCTCCCTCTCTCATATTCTCTCTTTTTCTTTTTCATTTTTTTCTTTATGTCAGTTGGTAATATAGTCACATTATAGTGGTAATAAATATAACTATCATGAAAATAGGTTAAGCTTCCTATAATAGAGCATGCACTGTATATTCCTCTTTCAAGATATTTCTCTCTCAAAGGTTGTTTTTAAAGTTATATATAATTAAAGAAATAATAAAGCTATTTCTGGAGAAAGGTGTTATAAAATTTTTCACATAAAATAAAGTTAATATATTTTTCTTGACAGACTTGTTGCTGGTATACAGGAAAGCAACTGACTTTTGTGTATTACCCTTGTATCCTACAATCTTGCAATAATTGCTTATTCATTCTAGAAGTTTTTTCCCATTCATTTGGATTTTATACACAATCAAGTCATCTGTGAACAGATAACTTTATTTCTTCCTTTCTGATTTGTATGTGATTTTTCACCTGTCTTATGGCATTAGTGAGGACTTCCAATATGAAGTTGAACAGTGGTGGTGAGAGAGGACACACAATACCATTTACATTACCACCCCAAATAAATAAAATACTTAGGGATAAATCTAACAAAATATGTACAAACTACAAAACTCTGATAATCAAAATCAAAGAACTAAACCAATGGTGAGATAGTCCATGTTCATGGATAGGAAGATTCAATACTACTAAAGTGTCAGTTCTTTCCAATGTAATCTATAGATTCAATACACTCCTAATAAAAATCCTATCAAATTATTGTGTGAATATCTACAAACTGAATCTAAACTTTATATGGAGAGGCAAAAGACCTAGAATAGCCAACGCAGTAATGAAGGAGACAAACCTCGCTGGAGGACTGATGCGACCTGACTTCAAGACTTACTATTAAGCTGACCACTTAGAATAGTAGTGCATCTTCCTTGGGCAGGGAAGAAGGAGAGTTCCTTTAAGAACTTTCTCTCCATCCCATTCCCTCCACCCTCAACCCAACTGAATCCCTTACCTTCTCACCCTGAGCTAGCACCCAGCAGAGAACTATGTATGCTTTTGAGATGAAAAAAAAAAAAAGATCTTCACTAAAGTAATTCTTCCATTTTGCAACTGTGAATACTGTGAGTCAAAAAGATTGAGCAACCTTCCCAAGGGTACTGGGCTATTATTTCCTGCCAGTGTTGCCTTAACTTACCAACACTTAGGTCGTCATCTTTATTGTACTTTGTATTACAATTAGAAAATTCCCAAACTGTCCTCTGTTTATATGGGTTCATATTAAACCTGGGGCCTTGATTATAATAAATGAAACAATGTTTTAATATCCTGTATTCTAATATCATGATTTATATTTTACACTAGAAAATCATAGTCAATATTTCCATACCTGGGACTGAAGCATAATGTATTTTTTTATAATCAATAATCATTTTTAGTTAAGCCACACTCTCAAGAAAAATAAAAAAATCAGCTAATTATTATTTTTTATATTTTGTTTTGTGTGTTTTTTGTTTGTTTGTTTGTTTGTTTTTTTAGGGAGAGAAGAAGGGAGAGGAAGAGAGAGAGAGAAACATCAATGGGCTGCCTTTTGCATGGCTCCTAATGGGGATCAAGCCCATGACCCTGTCATGTGCCCTGACCAGGAATCGAACCAGTGACCTTGTGGTGCTTGGGACAAAGTCATTCCTCAGCATCCAGGTCCTTCAGTCTCAGACAATACCACTGCTGAGAAATCAAAGGCCCACAATAATGTTCACGCACAAGAACAAGTGTCCTTCCTTTTCTGGCATATTTCCAGTGTAAGTTAAAAATTATATCTATATCTCTTTCCTGGAGTCCTCTTCATCTCAGATCCTCATTCCAGAAAACAGCTGTTCAAGCAAGAATACATGTAATGTCAAAGAGCAAATTATAGTATACAAGTAGACTACATTATAAATACAGGAGTGGACAAAAAAATAGATCTTCAGTTCCTTGTATGGAAAATAATGCAATCATTAATACATACTAATATAAGAATAAACTGTTTTTGCATACTTTCAATGGTAAGCCTACTTTTGCCAATCCCTGTATATTCATAAAGCAGAAACACATCTCTCAGAGAAGCAACAAAACCTGTAGAGACATAGCTGTGCCAAAAACATACGCACATCAGTTAAAATTACCAAAGAGACTACATTGTTTTTCAGTTTATAACATCTGCAGTCCTGTTTACATACTCACGAAAGAGCCAGAGAATAAAGGAAGGGGTGCTAAGATGCTGAATAAGAGATACATGGAGAAAAATGTTCTCTTAAGAGGGCTATAATTAGGAGATAGAAGGAGATGGGAGTCAGAACACAGTGGATGAAATAGCCTTATATGGACAGAAAAGCTGATGGAAGCTCAGGAATAAAGGTCTGGGCAAAGATTCTAAATGAAAACTGAAACCCCTGCTATGATCTGGGAAATAGATAGGGGAAAACAGATTTCTTTCAATTCCACAACTAACTTCTGGATGGTTAGTAAAGAAGCCTCTTCGCCTTCCTGAGTGTGAATGAACTCTATAAAAGAGAAATATTATTGCACCCCTGCTTCTCACATTAAGACACAGAAATAATAAAGTGCATGGTCATAGAGAAATGGAAGATGGAAAACCAGCTTTAAAGTGCGTACAATCTTGCTGTAGTCAAGAGGGAATACATATATGAGAAGCCTTGTGTGCATGCTGATAAACTGCAGAGCAGAGGCACTGATTCCAGTAGACCAGAGGTTCTCAACCTGTGGGTCGTGACCCCTTTGGCGGTAAACGACCCTTTCACAGGGGTTACCTAAGACCATCCTGCATATCAGATATTTATGTTACAATTCACAACAGTAGCAACATGACAGTTATGAAGTAACAACGAAAATGATTTTACGGTTGGGTCACAATATGAGGAACTGTATTTAAAGGGCCAGAAGGTTGAGAACCACTGCAGTAGACAGAAGGCAAGATTTCCTCCGCGTTAGCTTGAATGCCCCATGTTGAAGGGACGGTCTTCATTATACCTATGACTTAGAACGTGGATTGCACCAGATGTTATAAAAGGGTCTATGAGTCCTAACACAGAATATCAACATGTTCACAATGATGTGAAGGCTCCCTCTTATTGGCATAAGAAGCTATAGTGAGACTATAACTAAAAATAATGAGTTTTTAAATACTCTGATCTTAATATTCTGATGCCATTGTTTATTAGTTGTGAATCGGACAATTCCGTAAACTCCTTTAACATATGGTAACAAAAGTGGTACTTCTCAAGGTTGCCAGCCTTTCTCTCTCTCATTTTAGTGAGGCAGCACTGGCATGAGTCATTGTAACAGACAGAGGCATGAAGATAACACCAGGGGAAACCATGACACATATCTTCAGCGCCTGGGTAGGGTGTAATAAGCTTGTCAATGTGGGAGGAAGCACTGAGGTACCACCGGAATCAGAAACCAGCCAGAAACTGAAAGCCCTAGATCTTCCCAGTTGGAATGCCTCATGGCTCAGTTCTTAGCTCTCTTTCCTGTATATATTCTCACACTGAATGTTTTCGCCAGGTCCTTGCCCTTAAATACCATCTTATCAGTTTCTGGGCCAGTGCCATAGCCTAGTACACAAACTAGATTGCTTAAAACAACGGAAAGGTTTTGTCTTACAGTTTTGGAGACCAGAAGTCTGAAATCAAGTTGTCAGCAGGGCTATGATCCCTTTGAGTCTGTAGGGTAGAATCCTTCCTTGCCTCTTCCTAGATTCCGTTGGTTTGCTGACAATCCTTGGCTTTTTTTGGTTTGCAGCTGCATCACTCCAGTCTCTGCCTGAATCATCGCATAGCATTCTCTCCTCGTGTGTCCAAATCTCTGTGTCTCTTATCTTCTTATAAGGACACCAGTCTGATCAGATTGAGAGCCTACTCCACTCCAGTATAATTTCATCCTAACTTGACTATTAACATCTGCAATGATCATACAGTGGGGCCTTGACTTACGAGTTTAATTTGTTCCATGACGGAGCTCGTAACTCAAATTACTCGTATGTCAAATCAAAAAGTGAATGAGTGAGACACGTGATGCTGGGCTGATGTTGTGGCGTTCACTGTGACGTTCGCTGTGTCAACTAGTGGTGGGGTGTCTGAAGCTGGCTCATAACCCAAATTTTAGCTCGCAACTCAAAGCAAAAAATCAGCCGAAAGACGGCTCGTATCTCGAAAAACTCGTTAGTCGGGACACTCGTAAGTCAAGGCCCCACTGTATTTCTAAAAGAGGTTACATTCTGATGTACTGGGAGTCAGGACTTCAACATATCTTTTGGGGACTAGGGGACACAATTCAACCCACAGCACCATTAATAGACTGATGAGTCCCAAATTTATATCTGTAGCATTGATCCTGAGCCATCTCCCAGTTGCCTACTTGGTAGCTCCACTTGGATATTGAAAGAGGCATCTCAATAAGAGCAAAGCTCAACTGTCCCAACCCTCCACTTCCAAACCTTTCCATTCTCAGCCTTCTTCATTTCAGTGAATGGCTAATATCTGCCTCACTATTCAATTAAAAAAAAAAATCTAAAAGTCATCTCTTGTCCCTCTCTTACCCTCATCTTCTACATATAGTCCATCAACAGCTTTTTCTTGTTCTTCTACCTTCATGATGGGAGCTGAGTCATCCATTTCTTTAATTTATTCTGCCACCATACAGATCCAAATCACCATGAAATACAAAAAAAAGCTTCCAAAATTATCCCTTTGCTTTCTTTCTAGTCCATTTTCCATACCGCAATCAGAGAAAAAAAACTTAAAGATACATCAAATCCTGGCATTCCTTTTCTTGAAACTCTCAAAGTCATTCTGCTATATTTAGAATAAAGTTTGAACTTTTTATTGTGGTCTACCAAGACTAACAAGGCTTAAATCCAACACCATCATTTCATACCACTAACCCCCTGCCTATATTAGCCTAGTCACTTGACTTCACTGATACCAGAAATTCTCTTGTTTGAATGTTCTAGAGTCCAAATATGAGGTGCTCATGAGGCTAGGGGGAAGGGGAAGTGATGAAAGAGGGAGAGAGAAAGGAAAGCATAGCAACTGGTATTTCATGGCTGCAGGGAGACCTGGAGTCCACCTATTTTTACATACTCACTTTAAACCAATCCTTTTCATTTCGCTCCTGCTTTCTACCACTACCATCCATGTGTATCTATACCTCCAACTTCTAAACATTGCAATTGGAGTACCTTTTGCAGATGCTCAAGCGAAGGTGTCTTTGCCCCCTGCCAGGTCAGACACTTTTCCTCAACTGACTTCCTAGCTTCCAAAATTCATGACAATATTTGTCTACAGATATGTTTTGTCTTATTCTCTTTGACCTTATGAATCAACGCACTTTTACCCCTTAATTCTTCTTTCGTGGACGTTGGGAGGAAGAGTAGGTACGTGCATGTAATCATCTGCTGATTCATGAGAAGCATCACTAGCATTAACTTGATTTCTCTATTCCAACTCTTCTATTATAATAACTGGCATAAAACCCTTATATTTGGATCAAAACAAACACTGCATCATTTGTATAAGAACAATGGATGGGGGTGATAGTTCACAGCAGCGTTTCTCAACTTCAGTACTATTGACATTTGCACTAAATAACTCTGTTGGGCGGGGTTGTCCTACGCATTGTAGTATGTTTAGAAGCATCCCAGTTCTGTCTCCAGATATTATCAGATGTCTCCTGAAGGGGGATGGGAGGACTTTCCCTGGTTGAGAAGCACTAGTTTAGAGAGAAATCGGAGTATTGCTGCCAAAGGAAAGAAGAGAAAGTGACAGATAAAAGAAAAATCCTCTACTCCTTAATTTAACCAATAAAATGTGACTTGGAAAGGCTTGCACTGAGACATGCCAATAATTTTGACCCTGAATTACTGTCTGATCTCAGGACAAGCAGGAAATGGCAGGAGCCAAGGTGGATCTGAGGCACTTAGCAGTAGGGTCCTTAAGTCTTTGTACGTGTGTTTCACTATTTTCAGAGTTGAGCATCACTGCAGTTCTCAGTATTTCCTTTCTACCTACCAACCTGATGCAATGTATGTCATATATACATTTATACTTATCACATATTCTTTTAACATACATTTATTCCCCTGGACACACACTATGTCAGGGACCACTGGGGACACTGTACATACTTGCAGCAGTGTATATGATATTAGGACTTCAACTTTCATGGTGCTTAAATTCAAGGGAACAATTGACAGTACATAGTAAACCCATCAACAAATAAGTTATCTCAGGTGGTGATGAGTGCTATCTATACTAATAAAAGCATAATATGCTAATTAGACAGGACAGCCAAATGACCTTCCAGATGTCCTTCCAGACAACCTTCTGGATGAAGCCGGGGCTGCGAGGGTCAAGGCAAGCCACCGAGGCTGCAAGGGCTGAGCCCCTTGCATGAATTTCGTGCACTGGGCCTCTAGTATAGAAAATAAAAGACTGTGATGAGTTAGAAATGAATGATGGTGAGGACAGAAACAGAGAATACAAAATTAGACTGGGAAGTCAGGGAAGAGCCACTGAATAAATGACATCTGACTCAAACCCAAAACATAATTAGAGGATATAATGAAAGTTTTCCCATTTAAAGACCTAGAAAGAGTACACTAGGAGAAGGAAACAACCAGAGCCATATGTGTAGGTGTGAACATGTGAATATATGTGTGCAAATATGGGTATATGCACATGTGTGTATACATATGTGTTATGATCTGAATTATTGTGTCCCCCCAAATTCATATTTAAAATCCTAATCCCCCAAAATGGTGGTATTAAAAGATGAGGCCTGCCCAAGCCTGTTTGGCTCAATAGATAGAGCATTGGCCCATGGACTGAAGAGTCCCAGGTTCAATTCCAGTCAAGGGCATGTATCTGGGTTGCAGGCTTGATCACTGGCCCTGGCCAGGGAGCATGGGGAGATAACCAATCAATGTGTCTCTCTCACATTGATGTTTCTCTCTCTCTGTCTCTCCCCTTCCCTTCCACTCTCTCTAAAAATCACTGGGAAAATATCCTCAGGTGAGGATTGAACAAAACAAACAAACAAAAAAGATGAGGCCTTTGGGAGGTAATTAGGTCCTGAGGTGGGAGACGTCACGAAGGGGATGAGTGCCCTTAGAAAATTGACTGCTCTCCCTACCTGCTTCCACCATGTGAGGATGCAGCTGACTAGGAAGTGGGCTTGCACCAGAACTGAAGTGGTCAGAACCTTAATCTTGGCGTTTCCAGCCTCCAGAACTGTGAGAACCAAATTTCTGTTGTTTATAAGTCTACCAGTCTATGACGTTTTTGTTATAGCAGCCTGAATAGACTTAAAACAGTATGTACACATATACACATTTAACTTTTTCTCTACACCTTTGCTTCTGTTTAATCATAGTTACTCCTTCCTTGTTAACACAGGCCAGCAAATGACCCATTACAGTTGCCTGCTCTCTCCTCATTCCACCCTCCTATATTTTCAGCTTCTACTATTGCTGTATTTTGGTATTTCATAATTTGAATTCATCTGATGGGCTGAATTTACCTTTTGCTGCAAGTAATGCCATAAACTGCTTGCCAGTCTATGGATTGACTACTCTTGGATCAGATGCCCTTGCTAATCAAACAAAAAGTCTGTGGTGGAGAAAGGACAGTTGGTACTACACCTGCCTGAAGTCAAGTCAGTTTCTCTTTAAGAGTCTGGGGAAGCAAGCTTCCTGATGGACACATCTCCTGACATCACCAGCTGGATCACTCTTTGCTGTGCACTCAAGGTCATTCTACCCTTCATCTCTGCTATCATTCATGTTCCATTTTTAACTTATCATCCAGAGAAGGCCCTGGAAGTTATCAGAAAAATCATCCTGGCAGTAGCAGAGATTAAAAGCAAATAGATAAGAGTATGTCTTCCTCACAGCAGGGTCATATTGAAACTGATTTTCCCCAGACAGGGAAACACACATGTTTTATATTTCTTAGTTCATATTCTTTGGTGTGAACCATAAACTTCTAGATTAAGCCAAAACCTATTGCACTGCCATTTGAGCCAAACTAAGTTCAAAGCTCTGGGTGAATTATCCCTGAACAACATGATGAAATCCCTGAGATGGGAGCTTTTACCCTGTAGTGGGGACAAGCAGTGGATGTTTTCCAGACCTCTGTGACTGCCCAGCACTCTTAGAGCACCTTTCCAGTGTTTTGCAAATTTTCTACCTACATAGACCAGCCTCCCCAAGGAAGATGCCAAAACTCAACATCCCCACACTCTCTCTTTTTCCCCCCAAATTCTTTTTGTTGAAAGTATTACGTATGTCCCATTTTTCCTCCATTGACCTCTCCCAGGTTGCCCCCGCCCTTCCCAGACTCTCTTGCAGCTAGATCACAGGGCTGTGACTATGGCCCTTCCAGTCACATGCACTGATAAGAGAATAAATAAGATAGTTCCATAAAGACAAAGACACACAGAGATCTATATTTTTTGTGAGTGCTGCAGTGTTGCAAAAAAGTTACTTAGGCCAGAGACAGACCAGTAATAGGGATTCTTGTAATAGCATTTGGTGCCCAAGAGGCAGAGTCCTCAGGTAAGTTCCTCGTGGTACAATTTGGGCATTTGCTAGGTTTGTGCCAATTAATATGGTAGCTAATAGCTTTATGCCCCTCTTGGGCTCTCAGAATATGGCTAGAGCAATGGACTAAATTTTTAAATGAATTTAAATTAAAATGTCAAATCAGTTGCTGCATTCATTATTAGAAAACTTTTAGGTATATTTGGAACAGCTTTGGTATGTGTATCTACTTTTTCAACTGTAAATTTTATGAAATCAAAATCTAGATTGGGTTTTCTGATAGAAGTTTAGTATCCACATTAAAACAGGATATTAAATGTAAAATACACATAGGATTTTGAAGATGATATAAAAAATAATGCAAAATATCTCAATAATTGTTTATGTTGATTATATGTTATAATAATATTCTGGATGGACCAAAGTTAATAACATATATCTTTAAATTAATGTCACTCTTTCATTTTACTTCTTTAACATGGTTATGGGAAACTTAAAATGTGATATTTTCATTGGACAGCAATTTCCTAGACGAACGGTTCTCAAATTTAAATATACATCAGAATTTCCTGGAAGTCATATTAAATTAATACAGCGTGTTAATTGATAATAACAGAAGGTGATCAAGGAAGAAATCTGCAGAAGTGGCCTTTTAGGTGAACTCAAAGTTTAAGACTTGGGGAGAGGTCTGCTGCAGAGAGAGGGGATAGCATGAGCTAGGGTCTGAGGCAAGAAAACGACCGGCACTTCTGAGAAGCGCCAAGAGGCTCTGTGGCCAGATCATACAAGGGAGGGATGAACATGTGACGAGAAATCAGAAAGACAGATGGGAACCAAACTGTGCATGACACTGTAGGTTTTGGTAAGGAGTCTGAATATTATTCAAAATGAAAAGGAAATCCATTAAAAAATTCAATCAGTGGGATGGGGGATCTGATATTACTTCTAAAAAATTAAACAGGCTAATGCCTGGAAGACGGATTGACTATGAGAAAGTGGAAATGGACAGAACTGTAAGAAGACAATTGCAGCAATAAAGAAAGGCTAAGTAAAATATGCTGAAATGACCTACTGGAATTGTAAGCAGCTACTGACTGTAAAGATTATGGAGCTGGTACAAATAATGCAACTGTTTAGGATACAATGTTAACTGAACAAAAGTCAGTATATAAAACTGAGCAGACATTACACTTCAACTATGTGAAGTTATGTATGCATACAAAGAATAAATGAGAATATACACCGCCTACCTCAAAAAAGAAAAGAAAATACTGAAAGTATGGATGATAGGGTTCCTTTGCCAAAGTGTAAATTAAGCTAATATTACTTTAGAACAACATAAATTGGGAACTTCTGTTTAGTTAATTGAAATATTTATTTTGCCTATCCTCTTGTGAAATATTTTTGTCAGCTCATTTATTCATTTTTAATAGATCTTACATGTTCATTTTTGGGGGGTAATCTTTAGATTCAGAGTGGTTTGAAAAAAATCATATTGGTATTTTTGCTGAGTTCAGTTTGATTCCCATATTTAGAGATTAATTAAGGGAAAACTGATATCTTCATATTATTGAATTTTCTAGTCAAGAGAAGTATTCTGTTCACTTATGCCTTTTATTCCTTCGTGCATATAACTAAGAACTTTCCAACTGACTTTTCACTTCATAAAAGAATGCTATTGAATTTTTAGTAATTCAACTCTAGTTTATGGTATTAGTAGACCTTTATAGTTTATTCTCTTTGATTTTCCATGTATAAAAGCATATATCATCAGCAAGTGATAATTTTCCTTCTAACTTTTATAATTCCATTTTCTTTCTCTTGCCTAATCCCATAGGCCACTAACTCCATAGCATTGTCAAACAATAGTGACCATGGTGTGCATTTTTGTTTTTCCTAATTATATGGGAAGTGCTTTGGATGTTTAACAAATAAACAATTTTTTTAACAGCTTTCAGTGGCGCTACCATATACTGGATGTGTACTTTCCAATTCTCTTGCATTTTCATCTCTACCTTTTTTGTCCAATGCCTTCCACCTTGAAAATGCCCTTCATTTGTTTAAAGACAAAAAAAAACAAAACAAAACACAAAATACGATTCTTCATCTCTTATCCATGGCTTCAAAAGGAAGGGGAAAAAATGGAGTGGAGGTCAGGGCGAAAAGGAGCTTGCTAGACCCCATAGCAACAGCCAGAGCCCAGGGGTAGAGGACCTTCTTTCAGGAGAGGGCCCTGCTCCCGGGGTCACTGCAGAAGGAAGAACTGGGACTTGGGGAGGAGTCGGGCCACCTCCGCCCCCAGCCCGCGTCGGTGCCACCGGCGGCGATGAAACGTGAACCCGGGTAGCCCAGGACACACGATCGTCCCCCTCGCCCGCCGCCAGGGCCCCGCCGGGAGAGACAAAGAGACCTCGGCCCCAGCGCGGCCGGCTGCGGCCCCCCGGGCTCCCCTCCAAGGCTCCCGGGCCATGGCCAGGTCTCTGCGCGACCCCCCTCCCGGGAGCACTGCCGGCTCCATCTGACCGCCCTCCGTCCCCTCCATCCCCTCCGTCCCCTTCCCGTTCCGGGCTCTGCCGTCGCTCCCAGCCGCTCCCGTCTGTCTGTCTGTCCGGCTGGCCTGGCGCGCGACCTCCGGCCACCGGCTTGGATGGACGCGCGAAGGCTGCCCGGCGGTCCAGGGCTCTTGCTTCCAAAGTTGGTTCTGCTCTCTGTGCTCGCAGGTCAGTGGCCCGGGGCGGGGGAGCGGGCTGGGGGCCCCGGGGCCCCGCTTGGGTCCCACTCGGGGCGACGCGGTCTGAGTCGACGCCCCGGGAGCGCAAAGATGGTGTGGTCCCCGGGGAGGGGACGGGGACCCTGGTCTCCACCTCCACGCGGTTTGGTTTTGTTCCTTTCCTTTACGGTGCCCTTTCCTCTGAAGTTCCCTCGCTGTTCTTTACTTCTCGTTCCCTTTCTGCACCCAGCAACCTGGAACCCCCAACCCCACACTCAGGGGATTTTACTCTCTGGATAACGGAACATTATCCAGTTGTGTCCGTATCCACGACTCCGGAATCAGGGCGGTTGGAGGCTACGGGGTGGAAGGAAAACATGTTTAAAAAGCACCTGAAGTCTGAGGAGTATTGCGGACGTTTTCCGACGAACCAGAGTGGTGACTTTTGCATTTCACTGCAGGCTACGCACTGCCTCTCCACCCTCGCGTTTTGAATATTCCGCTTTTTCCCTCTGGAAGTAAAAACCCTGAGACCTTTGTTTTTATTCTTTAGAGGCCGATTCTCTAGTGCAGTCGCCTGGGCAATCAGATGCTTTGAAGTCAAACATATGGTTTTTAGGAGGCATACATTCACCTGGAGTCTAGTCTGCTTTCGTGGGTTCTGTTGAGCCCTTGTTTGTAGGTGAAGGGCACCTCATGTCCCTCCTCCTAATTCCTCTCAGTGAGCATTGCTGATGACTGATGAGGCAAAGTGCTTTTCTTCTTTAGCTATTGCTATGGAGCCCGATGATCTGGCCTTTTCATTCCTTACTCAGGTCTAAAGTTAATTACACACGGGTTTTTGCATCTGTTTTCTATTCACAACACAAGCTAAAAGCGAAGTGTTTTTGCAAAATGTTTTCCCTGTCTCTAATTTCCTATGAGGAAAACCAGAGGCTGGTACCCATGACCTTGCGATACTAAATTTATGTATAGCAGTGTGATTTACTTTTTAACATATAGAAAGATTGTTTTTATAAGTGCATATAAAGATACAAGAGCTGAAATGAAGAGTTCTTCAACATTATCTGCACATCAAAAGCTTTGCATTCCTCTTTCAACTCTGCCAGAACTGACACACAATAACTCTTATGGAAATTTTCAGTCTGTTTATTTAAATGCAAATTAGTGGTTTCCATAAGTTAGTTCAAAGATATTTTCCTGTAGGGAAAATGAAGAAATTTATAAAACTAGGAAAAGCACTTCCTGTTTAATGAGGAGAATTCACATTCTAATCTGTTTACACTTATTTCTTTTACTTAAATCATACAAGGTTTCAGAACTTGAGGGACTAACAGAATCAACTGCACTCATATTTGTTTTATCTCTTTATTCGTTTCTTTGAAGTAATGATAATTCTTTCCTACCCCTTGTCCTTATCAAGAGAATACAAAAATAAGAAAATCGAACACAGCAAATGCAACTGTAATAACCTCATTTGCTCTTACTCAACCACACCATTGATAACAACTTTTTCTTATTCTTTTGTCTTATTCTATACTTTGTGGTGAAGAGAAAGCTTCTAATTTGCACACTTTTCCTTCTCTTGGCTCCCTTCCCCAGGTTCCCTTCCCGCAGAGCTGGTTGGTTAGTTCAGAAAGTTTTCTCTCCATCCATTTCTTCTCTCTTTCCCCATCTCTCCCTGCTAAGCTACAAAATACACAATCTGAAGCCAAAAATACTAAGTTGACTTATTGTCTTTGATAAGAAATATTTAGTTAATGTGTTCTTTGGTGTTAATTCCTGAACTCTTTATAGCAGAGGTTTTTTTATATCAGAGGCTTCCATATTCGTTCATCTAATATTTGCTGAGTGAGATATGGTGAGTGACAGAGGTCTTCCTGTGAGTCTTGGCTAGGAGATAGTGTGTCCATTACCCAAATGGGTCACAGGAGAGGTACAATCACGTGCTATTGGTGTTCAAAGGAGCAGGCCTTATTGCTGGCCTAGGAGTGTAAGCTCCATGAAAACGATGTCTGTTTTGCTCAGCTAAATAGTCTCAGAGACTAGCAAAACGCTTGGCCCATAAGTGGAACACAATATTTCTTCAGAAAAACTGAATTGAGTAGGACTTTTAGGAACTAGGCCTTTGAAAGATAGGGAGGTCTTGGAGATGGAGTAATAGGACATAGTATGCACAAAGGCAAAAACCACAAGATGTGTCTTCGCAAAAATAGATAATTCAGTTTGGTTGGAAGTAAGAGTTATGGCTGGAAGTGAGGATTGAGATGAGATAAGGGAACACTACAGAGGTAAGAATAGTTCAGACACTCTGTTAAATGAATTGTTTTAATGGGACAAAAACACAAGTAGATGTGCTGTCCATAACCTGAATTATAACCCCAAAGCAAACGTATTAAATTCCTGGCCCATTTGTGAAGGAGATACGAGCAAGTTTCTATACCTGAAGCATCATGCTGTATTGTGAAGTCACTTCTGGAATGAGACCCAATGAAGTGTTTACATTATTATCCAACACCCAGTACAGGCTACAAAGACAGGATTTGGCCAAGGTTTTGCCTTTGCAGTCTCAGCTAGAGTGACTTCTGTCCCCTCCCTTTCCTTCCTCTCTTATCCTTAGCTGTAGTTTATAAGAACCTTGTTCTGAGCAAATCTTTGCAGCCAGATGCTGTTTTTCCTGTAGGACACATTCCTTAAGGTGGGGTGGGGGTAGGAAACCTTCGTCCAGATCTTCATGTCTTTAACTAAGTTTGCATTGGCTGATTTTCAAGGATATTACCTTGAATATGAGAAGCAATATTATTTGTTTTCTGAAGACAATAAAAATGTTCCATTTTTTTTTTACAAGTGAGAAAACGCTCCTGTATTGTTCAGACTCTGATCTTTGTAGAATTATTCTCAAATAAAGTGGAGAAAGCAACTAACATATCAAAATAAGCTTTGAGGTGTTGTTGGAACCTCGGTCTGGAAATGCCATGGTTGTGAATGTATTTGCCGAGCTATTAAATCTGCCCTTTTCAGTCGTTTAATTCTGGGAAGTAGACAGGAGCACTGGAAAATGCCATAAAAATCAGGAACAATGTGTGACACGATGGAGATGTTTGCTGCAGGTAAAAGCCAGTTTCTTGGCTACAAGATCTTGGGCTTGGTTTCCTGTCACATTGGCTCAAAATATTTTGATATCAGCATGTCCCTACATTAAGAGTAATTGAGTGCAATAGTAGTAATTGTGTCTTTGATATTCATGGAGTGCTTAGTAAGATCCCTGTCCTGGATGTCATTGAAAAGGCACCTCATAAAGCTACTTACATATCGGTTGTCCTCCCGCAGAACAAATGAGGATATCAGCTCTGCCTGTATCTCAATGTCTTTTATAGCTTTTAAGATCATGAAGCAAAACATTCCTAAATATTTGAATTAATTAAACAGCACACAAAAAATGAGAGCATTAAAGTAAACATTCACTGGGAAAATGAGAAAATAAATAGCCTTTAAAAGTTTGATGCGTTCTGCAAAAAGCATACAGTCAATAAATCATTAGATTGCGTTTCTATCTTCAAAATTTTCAAGTAAATTTAAGCAGAGTTACTGCATCTTACAAAGGTAACTATCCTCCCCCGCCCCATATCTTTTTACCCCATCCCAGAGGAAGACATTAGTTTGTTAATTTAGAAGTTAGAAATAAAGTTGGGGGAAAGAAAGTGTGAACTTTTTTATCTTGTTCCACAAAGGCCACACATTATTGGTAAAGGTAAATGAACTTTGCTACTTTTTGGTCACATCCTTTTGTAAAAGTTCATCTTGGCAAGGAGTTGATTTAAAAGCAAAAGCAAAATTTTTCTTTCCAGATAAATCAATTGGGCATGTAGACCTAAATATAACATCTTGTATTTTTATGTGACTTGAGCAAGAAAGCAAAAGCCTTACATAATTTAGAAAATTGTTATTACCTTCAGAGATTGAGTTGGAAATGACTTATTTTGTGAATTTTGAACATCTAACTTAAATTATCAGGTTGTACTTCATGTTTTCCTAATACTATACCTGAAGCTCATATATCCATTATAATGTATACCACTAACCATAACTAAATGGTAACCTTAACCTGTTAAACATAAATTATTTAGATGGAATAAAGAATTTTTTAAAGCCAGGGTAATTTCTATTCAACATTTTTGGTATAATTCTCCTTACCAAAAACATGTGGCAAAAAAAGAGTAATTTGGTTTTGTTAACTCTAACATGTCCTTTTTAATCAGAAAATACTTTCCCCCCATCACAGAGTGCTGTTTCATAGTTTATTGATTCTTCAACCTGACATTAAACTCTTAGTTTTTCCACAAGTTAATTATCTAGGGAAATTTCATATTTTCTAATCCAAATACGTTGACAAGATATGCAGACTTATTTGTGTTACCATATGTAAGCAAACCGTGATCATTGTACATTATTTTAAAATTATTTCCAGTTGACATTATTCATGTCAATGACATTTTCCATTAAATGAAGTTGAAAGTAATACCCTAAAGTCAAAAGACTTGACCATTTAAGAATTATTATGAGAACTCAGTTGACAAATTGAATGACTGTTTAGTTAGGTCATTCATTCCTCCCTTCATTGTCTAATTCAATTCTGACCACCAACTATGGTGCTGGATTCAAAGAATCCAGCAGGTGATTCAAAGAATGGTCTTTGCCTTTTCTAGCTTTATATCTAATAGAGAAGGAAGATTAGTTCAGATGTTTACAAATGTTTTACCATTCTGAGCACGTTAAACAAAAATCTAAATCCACTGAGGAATGGTTAAGGTATGAAATGGGATAATTTTTCATGAAGTTGTGATTTCAGAACTGTAACTGGATATGTTGTTTTTGTTTTTTAGACAATTGTCTTGCTCAGTGTGGCAAAGACTGCAGATCTTACTGCTGTGATGGGACCACGCCCTATTGTTGCTCCTACTACGCCTATATTGGGAATATCCTCTCGTGAGTAGTGGTCAAATTTGGCAATATTGATGCCCTTTCCCATGCCCAGATATGGTTTCAAAATGTACTGTTATAGGCACGGGCAAGAAATTTTTAAGAGTGGTTGTTGACATATAATCTGTACTGGAGATACTAAACCCTCATCACTCTCTAGTATGTTATATTACTGGACAGCATGTATAAGTTAATATAGAAAATAAATTGCCTTGATTGTTGCTTAATTTGTGTTTTAAAATAATAACAATGTTTAAAGTAGACCTTATTCACATTACTGATCTTTTTTTCAACATTGTAAATTACGCTGCCTGCTTTGTTACAACGTTTATAAGTTAGAATTTGTCATGTAATTATAGCCAGTTTATTTTGCCATCCATGTATTTGTCTAACTCCTTCAGTAAATATCCTGGAAAAGAGACATTATGAATAAAAACAGCTGAGATATGAAATGTCAATTTTCTATGTAATGCATATAAAGCAACTTCAGGAACCAAGCTTAGAGCCAAGATAGTCTAGGCGTCAGCAATGTAAAGTAATAACCAACTACGAAAAGCAATGAGACATACACACTTCGCCTGTGTTAAGCATTTCTCCATAACGGACTAACATTTTATTTTAGAGATGCTTCTAGTGACCCTTTCACAGGGGTCGCCTAAGACCATCGGAAAACACATATATAATTACATATTGTTTTTGTGATTAATCACTATGCTTTAATTATGTTCAATTTGTAACAATGAAATTGGGGGTCACCACAGCATGAGGAACTGTATTAAAGGGTCGCGGCATTAGGAAGGTTGAGAACCACTGTATCTAGACAACGGGAAATGGAGAAGCAGGAACTGCCTTCAGGGTTGTATGTCTGAAAAGTATACAACTCTCTGTTTCTCTGCATAGACCATCATGGTGGGAAATTAGAGGGAGAGAATTAGGAAGGTAAGACTTTTCTGAGTCAGAATTGCCTGTGTTTTTCAGATAGCTGCAAGAGTCTAGCCTCTGTTTTCCTTAGTTTTTATTCATCAAGTGAACATCAGGATGATTTAGATGCTGTCCTGTTGTGGCTTCACTCAGGCCCTATGAGGGCTTACTTGGAACCAGGAAAGATTAGGCACTAAACTAAAGGTTATCCCCTGCGATGGCATATAACTCAACATCCCTTTCCCGAAAATAGAAAACCTGGTATAACAAACTTTCTAGACTCAATGTTGGGGCTGATACTGGAGATCCTGTCTCTCTGAATGAGACCAACAAGCAGCAGGCTTCCGGTTCCTCTTGAAGAATGTCATGGTTATGTAAGAAAGGTCAGGCTGTAATAAAGATCGAGGGATGGAACTTCAGCATTTTTGAAATGCATATAAACTCTAAATAAAATGTTTGAATTTTTTTTTCATGGAAGACTTGGTGGAAAAGAGATGAAGTTTCCTTCTTACATTAGGGAATGGTCAGAATGATAGTTATAGGAATTAGCTCAAAATACCCTAAATATAAGTATATAATGAATGATGTTGCACATTGATATATCACTTCACATTTAAACTACATTATGACTAAGTTCCAATTTTATTTTCGAGTGGTCTCCACATGCCAGATACTGCTGTGCTGGGTAGATGTGTGAGTGGTCCCAGCAGGTGGTATACATTTGAGGAAGCTGACATCAGAGTGATTCTGTGGTTCTTTGGTCCTCTGATTCCTGGCCCATTTCCCTGTCCACTAACTACACCGTGCTCTGTCTGTGCCTTTGTCTCTCATCTGATAGCTCCCGCCACCCTGGTAAATATATATGTGAGACATAATTTATTAATCAGAATACTTAAAAATTAAGCTTAGGCATGCTTGATATGTTTTAATTTGCAATCATATTCACATGTTAATGGTACATATTCTAAGTCACTAATTTCACCACTTAATTAAAGTAAAGAAGTAGTTGAATTGATATATTTATCTAGGTTATTAGGGCCATGTACTTGTAATATTGGGGGGGGGGCAGATTTTGTCTTTGAGACAGATGGCATTATGTTTCAGGCAGTTAACACTGAATTTTCTGTTCAAAATAGAAACCCCTAAGTAAATCCCTTGCTAAACAATTCTTAGGGGGAAAAAGGAGGAGGTACTTTAAAATGTTTTCCCCACTGGATAAAGGAGAATACATTTTCAGGATTTCCAGTTATTGTTTAAGATTTGAAAAGAGTTCTTAACCCCACCCAAAGTTGTTGTTTTTTTTAAGTTGGGTGTGGGTGGAGGGGTTGAGAGAAAAAATATCAGTCCAAGAATGCTTACGAAAGTTCTTTCATGCACATGCCTTCAAATATAGCTATTTTGGAACTCAGAAGCTCTGCTTTCTCTATTCCAAGCATCTAGGCACATTCCTAGCAAAATCATTTTAATCATCTTAACAGAAAATTAAATCTTTGTGGTTATCAGAAAAGTAATAAGGAAGAAAGCAATAAACACAATGGATGTTTTGTCTCATAAATGAACAACTTTATAAATTGGCTTCTATTTTTGTCTGTTTAAAAATAGAAAATATCTTGGCTCAGCTTACAATGAGCTAAAAAGAGTACAATTTGGGTCATTCTAGACTGTTGGTAACTGATGAGGTCTGAAACGCGTATCATGGTTGCTGAGTGCTCTCCCTAGTCACCCTCTGAAATGATCGGAGTACACATGTTTCACCCTTAATTCTCTTTAGTTCAACTCTGCTCTGTTTTGCAGACTAAACATTAAGACTCATTTTGAAGAGATCACAAGAGCCAACTTTCTTTTTACCTTTGAGTTAAAAAACCTTATTTTACCTGGATGAGTTAATTTTTACAAATAAATTGACCCCTCCCCCTTTTATTCCTTTTGTGGTTAGTAGCTTTAAAATTTACTTGTATCTCATGGAAAACCTTAAAACTTAAAGTTTTACAATAGCATATCAACCTTTTTAATGAAGATATAATTGGCATATAACATTGTATTAGTTTCAGGTATATAAGGTAATGGTTTGATCACCACGGTAAGTCTATTTAACATATGTCTATTTAAAATAGAATATTCTGCTTAAGTCATTATGGTCACAGATAATGTTTTCAATATAGAAAAGTAGTAGTTATTTTCCAGAATTTAGGAATAATTTTACAGAAGTCAGCATATACTATGTAATCAATTATTAACAAATACATAGTGTGTGCCATAACCATGGCAGTACTGAGCTAGATTATCAAAGATGAATAAAGGATGTACCCTGACCTTGAGGATCTTCTATAATAAGAAAAGAGAGTGTAGGCAAAACATTCTAATTTGATGAAGTAATACATGATGTGCTATTAGAGGGCCAGGAAGAGAGAAAACAGTGCAGAGTGTGTGTGTGTGTGTGTGTGTGTGTGTGTGTGTGTGTGTGTGTGTGTGTGTCTAGAAAAAATGTTTGGAGAAAACCTCATAAACATGAAATTTGAACAGAACTTTGAAAGAACTTATTTGCAAATGGACAGTGAAAAAAGGTAAGCACTTCTAGACAGATGGATTTGTGCTTTCAAAACAAAGATATAAGAAAGGAAATGGCCAGTTTGTAAAAAGCCATGTTGCCCAGCATTGCTAGAGAGGTAAGGGTAACCTTTTAACCCTTTGCGGTTGTATTAAATTTGGACATGGGTGTCGTACTGGTCGGAATTAATTTCCATTGAAAGAGCAGTGATACATAACATGCAAGATTATGAAGGATAAACAAGATTTATTCTTTTTTGGAACTACGTCACTACTAGTAGAATCACTACAAACTTTATCACTTTCTATGTCAGAGTCAGTATTCAAGGTGCCAAAATAAAACTCTTCATCGTTACTTTCAGATTCGCAGTACACTTCTTTCGGTAACTTTCTTTTTGCCATTTTGGAGTATTATTTTGAAATATCTTAACAAGCGAGAATGCCTAATTACAATTAAACGTAATATGTAAAGCTTTATTTGAAATTCTGCGAAGTATCTCTGAAGCTTGTCGATTTCTTCACTCTCAAAAGGCGACTGACTCGCCACGGTGTTTTGCATGGAGAGTGTGGAACGACTGCGTTTGTTTATATTGAGTTTCGATATCTCCGATTTGTCGGGGCAATGTTTTGGTTCGTGACAAGGTCGCTTAGACACTTAAGAGCTTTCAGAGAAATGATGAACTGATACATGAATGAATAGAGTTAAGATTCGTACGGTTCCTTGCTGTGGTGGCTGAGAGCAGGCATATGACCGGAATGGTAAAAAAGCTTTGGTGGCTGAGAGTAGACAAACGACTGCAAAGGGTTAATATAACATAAGAATAGGTGTGTAAGTCAAAAGATAAGTTCTTACGTTTGCATACTTTTATTGGTAGATTTCATACATTTATTGGTCATGCCTAAAACAATTGAAACAAAATAATTCAGTATTTTTCTAGAAATAAGACAGCTGGTGTTTTTTTTTTATAGAAAGAACAAATTCTTAGCACTGAAACAAGGGATATAGGTGAGAAGGTACCAAATAATGATGATAATTAATCATTCCATAGAGAAAAGATTTTGAATAAACATTTGAGTTGTTACAGTATTTAGAACCATTTATGACAGACTGTGTGACTTTAGAATCATTTTGCCATTTTTGACATTGTTTAATCACAAAAGCAACTACCTGAAGATTAAAGCCTCACTATGCTTAAAAATGAGAATTGGGCCAATTCAAGAAATAAACAATTTCTCATCCAATTGATTCTCAAACATTTCACTCAGCCGCTCTTGTCCACGGAAGATAAACATCTGTGATGAATATGGAATAGGCTATTTCAATTTTTGCTGCTGATGAAATTGAATTGGCATTCCCTAGAGAGAGGATCCAGTGTAAAGATGTGGTTTCTACAATAATCTTTAGAATTAGTAGAATTCAAGGGAACAGAGAGTGCAGTTGAGTGGCTAATTATTGTTAGACTACTGAAAGTGAAGGTAAGCTACGACATGAGTAAGAGAATAATTGTACAATATCGAATAGGAAGCAGTAATGACTG